CTGATAATACCTCCCACCCACTCTATGACACGCTGGCTATCACAGCAGCAGTGGGAGAGGGAGATTACCAGATAAACATAAACACGCAGCATCTAACACACTGGGAACACTGCAATAGTTACACCCTTTTCACACACGCTCTTTTCTACTCTGGAATATTCTCGTCAATTTTCTTGCTATTTATTTGTAATCCCCTCTGTTAATCCTTGGTATTTATAACTGAGTGATCTGCATACGTTAGTGCTATTTCTTAAATGTGTAAAATCTGTAGCATATTGTATTATTTGGAGTTTAGTCTGTTACTGTTTTTACCATTTCTTCCTGGAACAACTATAACCCGCAAAGTTTCCGCAGGGATTAATAAAGTATTCTGATTATGATTGTTTCAGGATGACCTGCCATTATCCAATCACACATCTGCTTACCTGCATCTTTGGCACCTGATGGCTTTGAACTTTTCTTGTCCATCTTCCATTGGTTTTAATTTTGCACTCCAGTATGAATTTCTAAGCAGCAGATCAGAGATCATCCCCCTACTCGCTGAAAATGCTGCTCAGGGCCATTGATCAGTGATCATGTGGAGGGTGTGGAGGATAAGAGAGGCACGGACGGGACTCTCTCTCTTTAGCCTTCAGCCATCAACATAGACAAGGCAGTTCATATGGTTCATCTTCATTTACACACAGCGCACCTCCATCTTTCCGGCGCCGTAGGAAAGCCCATAACAAACACCGTGATGACGTCACGTACCTCAACGTCTCGACCAAAGTTACCCCGTCACCACGAGTAAGGGCGCCAGCAGATATAGTAATTTCACTTGAAAATAGAAACCAGGTTAATGAGAAAGAGAGAAAATTCAGATCGATCAGTGAGAGTGATGCTTTTAAATAAGTCGTCAGCTGACGTTTCCTCTGCACAGTGAAGCTCCTCCCCTTTAGGCTGAACGGTTTATTACAGCGCAGATTCTCCACTCCGAGATCTCACTGTGATTGGATAGTGAAGCAGCAGGTGTGGCAGGTACAGCAAACTGAGTTTCCGGTAGGGCATTTCGCACCTGTGTTAAACACAGTCGGTGTTTCCCTGCACTGGTTGGGTAGAGACCAGCTCTTTCCAGAGTTTGAGGATCCGGACTCGGAGCTGAAGTTGTCCGGCAGAAGCAGCAACAATCGCAGATGGCAGCGAGTGTACCGGCAGGTGAGTCGGTGGGCTTTATTTTACCTGCGGATACCGACAGCGTCAGGATCCGGAGTTTTTCGCTGAGGGAGAACCTGTTAGACCAGTGTTGTGCCAGAAACTGATTTCCAGTGTTTCCGTGTGTTTTAATGCGTAACGTCTTTACTTTATATTGGTAAAGAGACGTTAGTGGACAAGATTTACAAAGCGGTTATACATAAAACTACCAAGTAACTTTATAATTAGTGTACCTACATTATAACCAATCCGGTCCTTTTTGGTCACTTAAACTATTGTTGTATTTCTCTGCTGTCCTCTTGCCCAGTTTCCTCCCAAAAAACACATTTTTAATGCAATTTTAATTTTTTACTAGATAAATAAAGGATATATAAAAGTCACAGAACAAATATGTAGTTTTTACCAGATCATCAGTAAGAACTCTTTCATTTATCTGTGTGTCTGAATAGTGGGGGCAAGGAGAAACAGTAAGGACGAACCTGTGAGCTGTAAGTCCAGATGTTTGTATAAACACACACAGTGTCGGTGAACCTGAGATAAAGAGTCAGTTTAGGGAATCAAACAGTGAGCTGACATGTGTGTCTGTGTTCAGTGAGGCTGGTTCTGGTTGGGAAGACTGGAGTAGGGAAGAGCTCCAGTGGAAACACCATCCTGGGAAAGGACGTCTTCAGAGCAGCAACTGGTTCTGCCTCAGGTAACACACACACACACACACACACACACACACACACACACACACACACACACACACACACACACACACACACACACACGAGGGTGTCTAATAATATGAAGGTCTCTGTCTGCACAACCGAAACAAGGACTAAGAAACAGAAGGTCGCAGGCAAAGGTGCAAGAACAGTTTTAAATCAAGATCAAATCTAAAGAAAGTAGAAGTGCTGCCTCCTAGTAGCTGTACCTGTGGAGATACTAGGTTATTTTCAGAAAAGTTCCCCTTTGACCTTGAGTTCAAGGTCAGAGAGATTCAAATAGGTCCAAGATCACAAAAAGCTTATGCTGGCTTGCTCTGGAGTTATCACATTCACAAACCTGGGCATTCACACCACCCGCCTCCACCTGTGGCCAGGCCTCTGGGATGGATGAGACTCTGCCTGAGGGCCTTAAGGCTCTGGATTTCCTGGTTGAAATGCGTCTGTAACTTCTGGAAGTTGTGGGTGATGCCTCTGGACCAGAAGATTGGGTGGTGGTCCCCCCGTTCAAGAGCAGGGATCAGTGATTCTCGGTCCACACTGTTCATTCCTGGTTGGAGTAAAGTTAGAAGACTTTAAGTAAGGCATCACTGACAGTTCAACAGTTGGAGGCTGTACCAGTGCATAGAGCTGAGCACGGAAGCTGGTCGGTCTGCATTCCTGTCCTCACCTGTGGCAACGAGCTATGGGCAGATACAAGCTGCAGATAAGGACTAAAGATGGCACGATTTCACTTTTTTATGTCCGATACAATATCATAAATCTGGATATCAGCCGATACCGATATGAATCCGATATAGCGTTTTTTATAATCAATCAAACTGTTTTTTTAATATCTTGCTACATTTTGTATAAGTTCAGTTCATTTTTATTTCAAACATTTCAAACATGTGCCTTCACAATCATTACAAAATATCGTTCCATTATTTGTTTGAAAAGGAGTAGGCTGAAGTATTTACTTATTTGTCCCTACCCCCTCAAGTTTTACCTCTCATTCATTTAATTTTTTTTTGTCTTAAATTAAACAAACAACATATGAAACATATGAAGTAAAACAAAACATAACATACATAAATCAAAAACAAGAAATTAGCAAGCCCCACCACCGTATAGTTTCTTTCATATGAAAAATACAGAATGTGTATATTTGCAGATACACAAGTTATGGAAAAACAACAACAAGTTCATACTCAAGTTAAAATAAACAACAACACTAAAGCTATTCTGTTACACCTGTGTGTAAAAAACAAAACAAAAACAAAACAAAACACACTGCACCCAAAATATTTCATAGTTCAGCAAAACTGATCAATCTAATAAACTTAAACCTGCTCCATCCTCCCTATTCTGGT